GAGTGTTGTAGTTTACCCAGTTGGACTACCTGCAGTTTTTTCCCTATAAATCTAATACTAATGCTCTTTAATAATCACTGAAAAATTGTATGTTATAATCTTTACTATCATAATTATAGGTAAAGATTTTTTTGTTTATTTGTAATTTAGTGAAAACTATTACACTTATTTTAGAAGGATATGTTTTGTTCTTTTATCCTCATCTGAGGACATTTTTCCATTTTTTGCTCAGATAGAGTGGGAGGGAGGGAGAGAAATATTGATGTGAAAGGTACGCATCGAGTGGCTGCCTCCCGCACAACCCAACCAGGGCCGGGCACAAACTGAACCCGGGTCTCTCTGGACCACACGCCGATGCTCTAACCGCTGAGCCAAACCAGCCAGGGCAGAAGGATATGTTTTATCTATAGTGGCAGCAATTCAAGGTTATGGTATAGATGAGTTCCAGAATTAATTGATACAACTTAGGATAACAGTCTTAATGATGATGTTTCAGATCTCTTATGAATTAAATTTATATTATTTCTGTCATTTAATTCTCAGACACAGTTGAGAAAATCGACTAAGAGTCATAATGTCCACCCTAAGTGTTGTCACTGAACCAGTTTAGAGATTCTCTCTGACTGTACAAAATAATCCTTTTTAAAAGTTGTTAAGCACATACTGTGGGACAAATGTTATGCTAAGTATTTTAAATATGGACATGTATAAAATAGAATTTAAAAGTAACAAGAAAAATAGATCACCTATGATCATTATTGCCATTTTAGAGTATTTCTTTGTGATATTTTTTTCTGTGTACATGCTCACATAGTTGAAATTATATTTACTATCTCAATGCCATTTAACATAGTACCATAAGTATTTTACCACATACTTAAAATTTTTAAATAAATGTCATTTTAAATTATGGTATGATAGTCCATCACTTTTATGTATTGTCAAACACTATTTTAAAAGCCCAGCAGAAATTCTAACTTTATATGCAAGAAAACTAACACATTTAGTGCCTTTCTTTTGTCTAAAGATACAGAAACTTTGTATTGTAATTATTGCTAAAACTTAATATAACAGAAATAGAAAGTAGGAAAATGTACTCATTAATGATGGCAAAAATAAGGACCTCTTGTAAAATAGTTGGCAGCGACTGAAGTAGAAGTAGCATCCACCCCTGTGGATACAGACACAGAGCAGTCACTTTTTTTTAACTATTCAATCCTGCCCCCCTCTGCAACAGTGGATTTTATTACCATAAATATACTACACATTTCCATGTACTGTGGCTTTTTGGAGGGCCACAAACCCTTATGGGATCTAAGATCATATTTTGTCCCTCAAGGATCAATTTTTGCCCTGTTGGGGTTGAGAGTGTCCTCATGTAAAATGCATGATGTAATCACTCAAGGGATTGTTCTAATCGTGTTGTCACCAGATTAATTCCCATGCCATCCAGGACTTCATATCTCTGCTCAGAAAGTGAAATTGAATTGAATCAAGATTTACCCTTAAACCAGTGCTTCTAAATCTTTCTCCACACCAGATAGTTAACTCTGAACAACACAGGGAGTAAGGCTCTCACTAAAAGTGGACAGTCACTTGAGAAAATTGCTTCCAAGTGTGTTTAATCTAAAAAATATATGCAAATTTTGTATTTTACTTCTTGGTATATCTGTATTCATTTCAGTATTATAAACGATTAACAATCTCACATCCTTGCATAAAATGAGTGCTCTTGAAAAATGTACTATTTATATCCACATATTGTACTTATTTTGATATTGCTATTGCTCATAGGAGTTTAAAAATACTTTGAGCATAGACAACAGCACTAGAATAAACATGTGCCCTTCCAATCACTGTTTTTAATGACATTTTTTCAGGTGCAGAAATTCCCACGGAGTTAGTAAAATTCCATATCATGCCCATTTACTTCCAAACTACAATTAGTAACTTGGAGAACTGTCAGATAGTTTTATCTTGTTTCATTGCTTTCTACTCTTAGACACTGTGAAAAAGAACAAGTGGGGACAGCGAAGGCTGTTTATGAGCTTTGGAAAGAAATGTGTCAGAGGGATCTGTTTTAAGCAATTTGCTCTAATGATCAGCATGGAAATGATCTGCCTCTTTTTTAAAAACAGCTTCCACTATTCAGGCTGTAACAGATCTTGCTTAAAAGCTTTCTACAGAATTATGCATTCACAACGAATTCCAGTCTTTCCTCTTCCACACCTGACATTCCTCTAAATAACAGTAATTGCTGTTTTCAGTATAGCAGTGATCGTGATAAATGTGAATTCATTGTCTCCTTTTTAATGGTCTCCTCTGCACATACACTGAACATTACAAAGGGATAAATAATAACTCTAAAAAATGGAGATACAAGAGATTTGGAGTGTGAGAATTATAAAAGTAAATTGCTTAAATCAAAGTTACTCAAAATCTTACAGGCCACACTGAGGTGCATCTGACCAAAACAGTTAAACAAAATTAAGATATTCAAAATTGAAAAAATATTCAGTGACAAGTGGAAATTTATATGTAGAACATGGGAACAAGCTGCAACATGGATTCTATTTTACTTCCATTTGTAGGTTCTAGTACATGATACAGTTCACCTTCTCAGCACTTGTAAGATTCTGAAGAGATGTAAGCACTGTTTGGGGCAAATAGATTTTGAGTTAGGGCAGTAAGGGCTAGGATTAAGTGAATTGGGATCTTTGAATTTGGGATTTAAAATAGAAATCCATCTATTGAAAAAATAAATCTTTGCTTCAAGGTTTTATTTTTATTAAAAGGTTTTCAAAATATGTAATGATTCCTTCCAGAGGACGTTTGAATCATTTTCTCTAGTTGGTATTTCAAATATTGTCTGTATGTAAAAAATACTAATTCCAGAATGAGAACGAGACCTTCACCACTCAGAGATTTGATTTAATCGTAGTGTGTATGTGCATGTGTTTTTCCCAGCAAACTTAGGTTTCCTAAATTATATTTGCCACTTATTTTTTTTTTCCCAGCAAAGAATAGCTTTCTCTTAAATAAAATTAGTCTTCTGAATTCCATTTGGCTAGTATACCTTTTAGCAGCCTCACAGAGTGGGTCAGTTTCCTGGGGTTTTTGATAGATGCCATCTACCAAGATCAAAGATACGTATGTTTATTAAATCTAAAAGCTCTAAATCTTAAGACTAGTTGCCCTATTAGACATGTCCCTGGCTGCAGTAGTGTCTTTCCACTTAAGTAGTGCGTACACATAGCTGTTCTTGTCACAGATGCTTGACATTCCTGTGCCCTTCTCACTATTTTGGACGGAAACAAAATAACAATATTAGAAAAAAAATCTTATAGTGTTACCAGCAGAATACAAGGAATTTAGATTTGATTTATGTCTAGGTACTTTTCTCAGTTAAATCAGAACAGAGGAGATTTCAGTGTACAAATCCTGTGGTAAATGATTAAAGGAAGGCTTGCTAGAATTTCTAATAGTTTTTTGAAAATGATTAGAAGCAAAGTATAATTTATTTCTCATTTCTGCATGACATAATGGAAATACTTAATAGAAAAATAAATGGAACCTCAAAACACAGTAAAAAATGCAATTTAGCAGACCATAAATATTTGAAATGTTTAGTTACAGCAAGAAACAATACAGACTTAGCCAGAACCAGAAATTAATGTGTTCTTATATATGAGCAGAATTTAATAAGCTTTATCTACCACTATAGTATTTTTTTCCAAACTGGATATTGTCCTAAAAGAAAAAAACTAAAAATAAGACTATTATCCAGTTTGGTGTGGAACCAAATATTTTTATCCTGAACACTAATTTTATGGATGTTATATAGATATTGCTAGAATTGTGAACTGGATGTTTTTTACAAATTATCTTATAGAAAAATATGAAATAGGTATCAGATAATTTTTTATAATTTAGATTTTATTGTTATTGAAAATATCCACTTACAGTACCTCCCGAAGCCATTGGGAAATGTGGTAAGGCGGCAGAAACCAGGAGGGACAGGACGGGGGCAGGAAGTCTTTGGGTTCTAGCCTCACCTTCCTCCTTTACTGAACCGTGTCCTTGGATTTATTTTAATCTTTTTAAAAATCTAGGCTTCTGAATATAGTGCCAGATATAGACCTGTGGAACCCATGCAAGAGTATACCCTTGAGAGTCACCAGCCCCGTGCCCTGCTGATCCGTACGCGCGGTGGCCTGTGATTATCTCTTCTGTTACTAAATTATTTTCCACTCATGGGCACCAGTGTCATTTGGTTTAATTTTCAGAAACAATTATCATCAGGGGGACTGATCTGAAATCCAATTGGCCCTGCTGGTGACTTGACTAGTTTTTTTCTCAGGCAGAACGTTCTATATTGGAATCTGGATAAAGTTTTGAGCCAAGTGCTTCTGTTCAACTTATTGACTAACAGTAGACTCCAGGCAGCTGCATTTCTTTCAATCCCTCTCCCCCTGGATCAGTAAGGCACCCCTTGTTAGCATTATTTACTTGAAAAATCAGATAGGCAGAGACAGTACAGAGCACGCTTCTCGGAGCAGCTCTGCTGTGACACCGGGCGGATGGGGGACCTGGAGGCTGTCCTGCAAGGAGGGTCTATGAGTTGTGACAGTTTCCTCTAGTAGGCGCCATAGTAACTAAGGATGAGCTGTACTGCCAAAGTCAAAGCCTATCTTCTTCAGGAAGTTTTTTTTTTTTTTTTTTCCCCAGTGTATCTTATAGGGCTTGAAAAATAATTTATGGAATTGGAAATACATTTGTGTTAATTTCTGAGTCAAATTTCCAACACATTCTCCCTCAGTTTTTAATGTTCAACAAGAGGACAATGTAACCTACCCTACAATAGTATATAAAAAAGGAAGAAAATGTTTGTGTGTAGAGATGATGAAAAATAGGTTTTCATGTAAAATAATGAGGTCATACTAATGTTACTGTATCTTTCCTTTGATCTCATTATGTGAATATGCCTCTTTCACACACAGATGGTTCACAAGCACCAGCCAGACCTCCTAAACCACGACCCCGCAGGACTGCACCCGAAATTCACCACAGAAAACCCCACGGCCCCGAGGCAGCATTGGAAAATGTCGATGCAAAAATTGCGAAACTGATGGGCGAGGGTTACGCGTTTGAAGAGGTGAAGAGAGCCTTAGAGATAGCCCAGAACAACGTGGAGGTGGCCCGTAGCATCCTCCGGGAGTTCGCCTTCCCGCCTCCGGTCTCCCCGCGCCTCAATCTATAGCAGCCCGGACTGCAGCAGCGTGCAGCAGAGCGCAGTGCACGGCCGGCGGACCGACGGGCTGGGGAGGAGGGGCCCCCCCCCCCCCCGGGGCTCCCCCCAGGGCTCCGCAGGCCGCGCCGGGGGCGGGGCGCTCAGGTGTCAGCGCTCGGCTTCCTTGTTCTTGCTAGCCATACTTTTAAATCAGGGTTGAACTGACAAAAATAATTTAAAAACGTTTACTTCCCTTGAACTTTGAATCTGTGAAATGCTTTTCCTTGTTTACAAGTTGGCGAAGTTGCAGTTTTTTGATACTTGTACTGTGTTCTTGACGGACCCTTTCCAGAGCGGTCAGGTCTGCTGTACTATTTCCCACCGACTCCCTTGCTGTCCACACCGAACAGCCAGGGCACATACTCATTTTGATCCCTCCCAATTACAAGATGCTTTAAAGGTTCTGATATTCAGCGTATCAAACTGATGCAGAAAAAAAAAAGTGTGGCCTTCACTACTGAGTCTCTTTTTGGAAACCATCGTTGTTGAGAAATGGAGGAAATCTGAATGTGTAAAGCATTTTCTTTGGTCAGTGAACTGCCTTTTATAAGGTGTTTTCATATAACATCGAGGAGCTTCCCTTTTTAGTGTAAGTTTTGAGAGCTTTAATTTTCTGTATTCTCATCTTGGTCATCCCCGGGGTGTCACGATGGCAGAAGCCTAAAATATTAGAAGACGACTACTGCAGATGTGAGAGGAATACACTAGCACATGACGATGCGAGTGGAAGTTTTATAATGAGGTCCCCTGATGTGTGTGCCTGCATCGCTGTGAGACATGCTGAATAAGGAGGCTGTCTCCCTGAAATGCATCAATAATTTTCAGACAAAATTACCATCATACCTCTCTCAAGCAGAGTAGAGTTCATTTCCTGTTTGAGTGATTACACTCTGGTACCCAACAGGTTTCATTTTGCAGTGGAAACATTAAATCTTTGATGCACTGTTAAGTGCTGATGCTACTGTGGCAATGTTTTTTTGTCTGTTCTTGCAAAATTCTTAGTAATTTTCTCTCTGCAATCAAATTATAGTTCATATTCAAGTTGTAGATTTATTCATTGCTTCACATAGCTACATCCAGTCAGGTGAAAGAAATTTATATAGTTTTGCCTTTTTTGCAAAATAGAGGTTGGTTCTTCAGAAACCGTTTTGATACTTTTAATAACGCTACAAATATTTATTGTGCATCTATGATGTGCTCCACACTGTTCTTAAAGCACAAACTATTGCAAGCAAGTGGATTTCAGTGTGTTATTTTGTTCTTTGCGCTTTTGATGGTAGAAGTCTCTCTGAGGGGCAGCGCCTGGAAGGTTTCCACCAAAGCTTCAGAATTCTCAGGCATCTGCTTTTCTTTTCTTTTTTCTTTCCTAATGAGAAGTTAGTGGAGAAATGAGATAAAACCAGGTCTGTGTAAAACATCTGAATCCACAGAAGGTGTTCTAAATATAGACTAATTACAGGACTGTGCATGTTTCTTCCTTTCCTGAACTTGACACAGTGCGATGTAAGAAGAGGCATCTGAGGGTGGGCCTGTCTTCAGGCCTGGAGAGGACACAAGCAAACATCCAGCAGAGCTCCTGGGAAGTAATGCTGTTCAAGACTTGGGAGGGGAACCTATTCATTCCTTTCTAAAGTAACACCCGCCCTTACTTAACAGTTTCGCCAACATGACACCAGGTGCCTGAGGAGTCACAGTCCTTGGGTAATTTGTGCTTGTGTTTTAATTTCTTCAGGTGATTCTGAGCCCGTTAATGTTCCTGGAAGGGAATTTTTAATTTGCCTTAGATGTTCTTCCTGTGAGTTAGGCATATGATTGCAATTTTCTTACAGTTTTAAAAATTATATTGCCTAATTGTCCATTGCTTTATGAACTCCATGTTATATATCATCATGGTTTTTCATTGTTTTATCAGTTTGGGATGTCACATTGGAATAGCACTGTATGTTTTTACTTTTTTATGGGTACAGTCTAAAGTCCAAAAGTTGCCACTTAATTACGATAAAATTGTTAAGACAGTCTTAATAGATTAGGGAATGGTGAAAAATATAAATGTTAGAAAATAGTACATTCTCAAACAATTTATGAATAATGTGTGAAAATTTCAAGTAAGAATTAGAAAAAAAGAGACATGTCAATGTAGTAAATAGACTGGACATTTTTAAAAAGTGTTTTGCAAAGAAAACTTACTAGCCTCCACCAAAATCTCCCACATCTGGTACTCAATAGCAACCATTGATCTTTATCATTAAAAAGAATGGATCAAAAATTTGAACAGAATGGAATGGAAACAGGAAGCTTTCTATCACTGACATGAAAAGCCCATTGCTACCTATTACCTCTGACTTATCAAACTCCAAGAAACATCTTTGAGGAAATAATTAAACCCCAATATTTTTAGTTATAAAAATGGCTGCCCATTAATGTTTGTTAATGATCCTAACTTGGTTTCACTGTGATCCAAAAAGTTAGACATTCCTCCCATTTTTCAAGACTTGGTAGTACAATTATGTTTTAGCCTGTATGCTCTATTATCCCTAATAATTAAAACAAATAATAGACAGCATTAACCTCTCCCCCACCCCCAACATGTCCTAGGGTAGAAGTATTTATCCTCAATGGTGGTCAAGTACATTAATTTCCATAAATTTTCCCCCCCTCAATGTCTGTAATATCCTGGCCAAATTTTCTGGAATTGAATCACAGCCATGCTCGTGGTTATCTTGAAATTCCTTCCACAAAGAAGACCTTGCCCACAGTGCAAATAGTTTTAACAAGAGACCCCCAATTGCAACTTCAAAGGGCCCGTTCGTTAACATTTCACACACAAGAACACTTGCAAAGATTTCTTCATAATGTGAATTTATTTTTTTCTTTTTAGTTTCAGAAGTATTTCCTATAGTTTGGACATTATGTTTTCTCTCGGATTTTCAATTTAAAGCTTTAATTTGCACTGAATTATCTAATCTGGTTAAAATTTTAATTATTTCTCTGAAGCCGACAGATTTGGAAGCAAATTACAGTATACTTCCCACAGCACAGGTACTGCCTGTAAACCTGGAATGTTAGTGCTTCTAGGAAAAGTTTCCAGAAAAAGCAATAGTGTGAAGGGTTTTCTTCCCAATTACTATTTTATTTTTAAATGCCTTTTTAAAATTTGTTTAATGTGGCAAAATAGTTATGTGTTCAATTAATTTATATTTTATTCATCCTTTTTCAATTCTGGTTATTATGTAAACTCAAGTACTTTACCTGTTCTTTTAAGATATTTTATAAAATGAATGTTAACTAAATGCAGAGTTGGTATTTTCTTTTCAAATGAACACACATTTCTTTCAAAGCATTTCTGTGTTGTAATTTTTCTTGTTAAACAAAGACATTTAAGAGCTAACTGGACAAAGTAATGCAATATACCCATCCCATATCATTTTAAGGTATTTGCATGGATAAGCTACCCCCATAGCTTAGAGCTGAAAGTCAAAGTTACATTAAGCTCCCAAGTAAGAAATACGTGTCTGGGAAAGGCTGAAGGATGACATACTACACCATTGATAATTCCTAATCAACAGTAACATCTGTTCTCTACTTCATGATTTTTCTAATCAGTTACTGGCCAGTATATAGTGGGGAGAGAACAATGGAGATAAAAACAATACGAATAACTGCTTTTAAATCAAGAACTACAGCAGAATGTTGTGGAAGTAATTGGTACATGCAAAATCCCATGCATAATAGTAACAATTATACCCTCAAAGCACATACAATTAAATGGGAGGTACACACTAACAAGTAATTGCAGTATAATAAATGCTGAACATAATTTATCACATGGAATGGGAGTCTGAGCTTACCATTAGTGTTTAAGAACATTTATTGAGCTCTTACTATATGCATGGAACTTAGTATTAAAACATTTAATCCTTTCAGCCCAGTTTGGCTCAGCGGTTAGAGCGTCAGCCTGCGGTCCGGAGAGACCCGGGTTCGTTTCCCGCTAAGGGCACGTACTTCGGTTGCAGTTTGTCCCCGGCCCTGGTTGGTCGTGCGGGTGGCAGCCACTCGATGTGTCCCTTCACGTCGATGTTTCTCTCTCTCTCTCCCTTCCTCTCTCTCCCTCCCACTCTATCTGTACAAAAAATGGAAAAATATCCTCGGGTGAGGATAAAAATAAATAAATACAAAAAAATAAAAAGAAAGAAAACATTTAATCCTTTCAACCACTGTCGTGCCTCTTCTGGGACTGTGGAAGGAAAGCAGGGTGTGATACGTGCCTGTGGGATGTCTGACGAGCAATAAGGCTGAAGAGCATTTTGTCAGCCTAGAGGAGGAGCTAGGTTTTTGTTGTGGTTGAGAAAGAACTCCAGAAGTAAAGCTTTTCAACTAGGAAAGCACACATGATAAAAGTGTTCTTATTTAGGCAAAGGCAAGAAGTACTGGGGTCTGAGGAACCCAGAAGAGAGTGGGGAGGGGATGTATTTGAGGGTGAAAGACCATGCAATCCAGTGCAAGATCCTAGGAACCACAGGATTCGGAGACATTTGCTGGAGGTCAGAGATGACAGTCACCATGAAAATACTGAGAGGAATTGGTGTGTGTATGTCAGCAGGCTAAAGGAAATCTAATTTTCATGCCTCTTAATGTCTATCTTGTGTTGGTTTTCAAGGGAAACTTGGGCAGTATTTTTAATGACCTATTTTTGCTTCGTTTTCATCCGTACTGCCACTACCATCTTTTGGATCTGAATTTTTCCCCAGAATTTTTTTTTTTTTTTATCGTCACCCGAGAACATTTTTCCATTTTTTGTTCAGGTAGAGTGGGAGGGAGAGAGAGTAACAGAGAGAGAGAGAGAAACATCAATGTGAAAGGGACACATCGAGTGGTTGCCACCCGCACGACCAACCAGGGCCGGGGACAAACTGCAACCGAAGTACATGCCCTATGCCCTTAGCGGGAACCGAACCCGGGTCTCTCAGGAC